GCTATTAAAATAGATTAAAGTAGTAAAGCAAGTGAAGGTTAGGATGTCTTGTTAGGGTGTTCCTTAGATATTTAGATATTTAAGCTATGTACCAGTATTGTGGGTTCAGCTTTAGAGTCTGCTTTCAAAGCAGGAGAGGGAGATGAAGGCTGTCGATGTTAATTCTTTGTATATGAAGATGCTGTAATAGAACAACTCCTTTATTTGATGTGCTGTTAAATGGTTCAAGTACTGTATTTTTCAGTCACTCAGTTTATAAATATAGTATTCCTCTTTGATCTTGCATTGTAAAAGAGCCCAAAAAATCACCAAAACCAAAAACTAAAAAAACAACGAAAGATGAATTCTGAAGTGCCTAATTGCAGTTCTGTGCTGCAGGAATTTCATGTAAGATTACTGTATTCACAAATACTTTCATTTATCATTATAAAGTAATCCATTTTTCTACGTATTGCTTCATGCTGTACTCCCTTCATCAACATTTGTAGAACTTCAGTGGTGTGGGAGCGTATCAGGAATTTCTAATTTCCATTCCCTACTGTAGAATATGTATGTTCCCCCACTCCCTGAGCTACTTGCTCCATGTATCATCCCTTGCACAGCAGAATTGGCAATAGGCACTGCCACTAAGGCCACATGCATTTTCTGCAGTTGTATAAGCAGTTTACTTTAGGGTATTTGTTTGCTCCATGGCTGTTTGAGGATAACTTAGTATGAGTTCTTAGTATTCTAAAATTAGTATTTAGATTTCAAACCTCCTTCTCACTAGCCCTTTAAAATTTAAGGAATTTGAGTTATTGTTGACAGAGCAGAATTCTTCACTGACAAAACACTGATGCGTTTATTAGCAACAGTGGAAAACAATAATAAAAGCACCACACCAGGGTCACAAAATATAAGTCACTCTTATTTGCCTTGAGAAAACGGGAGATGTGATTCTGAAGGGAGATAAAGGGTAATATTTTCCTTGAACAGTGAAAGACAAATATACTCTGACATTAAAAATGAAATTATTCTGAAACAGGAAAGAAAAGTAGCTCTCAGATGGAATCTTTTTATTTTGTGATGGACCTGGCTTGCTGGCTCAGACTAAGAAAGATGGAAAAGCATTTCTCAGTTAACATGAATATGATGGATGGTAAGCACAGCTTTGACTAAGATCTACCATCAGGCAGTGTAGTATTAGAGCTTTTTGTGTAGTTACGAAATCCTGAAATCGGTGTCTATGTTGTTGGGCACATGCAGTCCCCAGTATGTCCTGCAGTTGTGTTGCCCGAGTCATGAAGGCCTAGGGAAGCTTGTGGAATAAGATAGGTCCCTTCAGCTGCCTTGTCCTCTCTAAAAAGTGAATTGGTTTTTCTGCTTGTGTTTTTTTTCCCAGGTGTGGTGGAGACATAAACCTAAAGCCATGACTGTAGAATGGACCTTTCATTCAGGGGAAGCCAGGCACAAAGAATGTAAAGCATTAACAGCTCATTAAATCGAATCTTAATGTGAAAGACTGCTATTGCTTCTTCAAATAAAAGTGACACTGCTCAAAAGCACTAACTATAAGTCTGGTTTTCTCCAGTGAGTAGCTGAATGTTTTGCTATTTTTCCAGCCTTACCATGTTCTAGCAGGCTTGAATTCTAACATGATTCTGTGATGGCTGAGTGTTGTGTTGTGCTGAAGTCACCTGTTCAGAAGAATATTTCTTGACCACGAAAGAAAAGTCCTGACAGCAAGAAATGTCTTGAAAACAAGACTGTGTTGTCTTCATTCACTTGCCTTTTAAAAACTTGAACTAACAGAAGACAAATGATTAATATGTGTTGCCTTAGTTTTGTTGTGTAGAGCAGTAGATTTCTCTCTCGCTACGCTGCTGAGATCCCATCTCTGTTTTAAGTACCTTATTTGAACAGTGGCGTTTACAGTTTCCAGCAGCACCTTTTTCTGTGGACTCAGTACGTTGCAGGAAATAGACTGCCACATAGACAGATCATGGCATGCTGTTTCCATTGGGAAATTATAAAGTGGTAAGTTTTATTTCTTTGGCTTTGCTTGTTCTAACTTTCAGAAAATAAAAGATTGGTAATGGAGAAATTAAGCTTTTTAGTTACAGATTTGGGTAGCCAGCACCTGGAGTCCAGTAAAGTGTTGGGATAAGCTGGGGACATGATAAACTAAATAATTTGAAAGGCAGTGTTTAGTATTATCTGAAAATGGTCTGTGTTAGCAAAGGGCTCAGAGTGACAAGTACTGTAGTCTACAGCAATAGTTATCTAAGGTTGAGCACTTAGTTTTGTCTTTCCAAGACATACAAGTTCAGATCTACTTGTGGAAGTTAAATTCTGCTGAGCTGAAAGTGATTCAGTAAAAATGAAAACAGTGAATGGTGATGTAAGGCTTTTGGCATTTAATTTCTCTGTTCACAATATAAATGTGGATGTTAAAGGCATTAGGACAATTGTCTTGGATGAGTTCTGCCTGAGTTGTTTTGGTCCATTTTCTCATTCACAGTCTTAATCACGTAAAGATGATTTATCTTACAGGGAGGGTCTTAAACTCCATAATACAACTGTAGTCTGGAATTGTAGCATAATAGGATATATTCTAGCTCCCAAACATTAATGTAGCTTTACTCAAAAGCACATCAAATAGCTCTGATTTTTGTTTTGGATACAGGCAGTCTCTTAGCCAGCAGATTTGAAAGTGGTCGATTTGAGTTTATTAAATGAGTTGAGGTATTTTAAGATACCCAGCAATGTGAGGTGAGTATGCTTGATTCTAATCCTACTTAGCACAAAACCTTCCCTTGCTGGTGTAGGGATTACCTCCTCACCATGAGGAACTTCCGTACCAATGACATTGTGGACTGATCAGAGCACTTCTTAAGGTGGTTTCAGATTTGACACACAAGTGTGTGCTGACTGGGGTGTTCTGTCGCTGCTCCTCAAATGCCTTTCATCAAAGTCTATTCAGAGAGGAGGATTTCTGAGGTCTTCATTTTTTGCTGTACACTCAGTATTGCTCAGTAACTCAATAAATCTTTTTAGTTGAGTACACTGTGATTATCTCTCTACTCTAGCTTACTGCAGTTTTCTTACTCTATTTCTCAGTGACACAGAGTTTGTCTCAGATCACAGGCAGGGGGTTAATATCTTGCAGTTATCTGGCAGGATGCAATGTCAGTAATTGTCATTGATGGATTGACCAGATCCCTTGCTTTCCATTTCTTGGTGTGCCAGAACTGTTCTCAAAGCTTACTTCCTCTATCTGTTCTGTGAACTACCTCTCTGGAGGAAAAATGGACAACTTAATTACTAATGACAAAATATGATGTACTTTTCAGAAGCACTGATGTACTGTAATGTTTGTTTTTTTTTTCTTTTTTTAAAATCACTGCTAACACCAGGAGTTTGTTGTTACACAATACTTCTGTATGAACTGCACTCACTTGAGTTAGCATGAAAAAATGTTTGGAGAAAGTTAATCTCTATACTGTTTCTCTTAAGTTGTTGAATGCTGTCTTTGATTTACAAATCTAGGAAAGTACAATACAGTGGTAACTGCGCAGTTGTTAGGGTCTTCAGATTTTCTAGGTGTAGTTGCAGCTGTCATTGCCACTTGTTTTGGTAAGTGGTTTTAGGTCTGAGATGGTAGTAGTATTGAGAAGACGGTCAGAGAAACATCCATGTTTGCCAGAAATGGTCACAAGAGGCTGCTAGTCCAGAAGAGTTATATTTGCAAGACATAGCATGTCTTGAAAATGAGGGAAATTTGCAAGAACAACAGCTTGAAGAAATTCAGTGGTTCCCTTACTACTGGGGTCCCAACTGAAGTTATTTCCTGTAAGATTTGGTGAGCCACTACTCTGAAATTGTTCTTTAATACTAGATGGGGTGCAGTAAACTGGAACATCACTCTGGCTTTGTTATGTAGATTTCACTGTTTGCAAAGATAAATATCTTCCAAATGTCTGTCATAAATTCTTATAATAGAGTTGTAGAAAGAAGACAAGATCTGTGCCAAGCAGCCTCAAACAGCATACTACTAATACACTTACGACATTTGTCCTAGGAAATTTGAGCTCTTTAATAGAAAGCATGTTTTGGATTAATCTGAATGACTGCATTATTAGTGCTATGGGGTACTCTCAGCCAGTCAAGAAGACTTTTTTTTTTTCCCAGTCAGTCCATGGGGTAAAAAGCAGACATTTTATCTGGTTCCAGTTGATGGGAAGCAGGAGGAGAATAATCAGCCAAGAGTTATCCAGTTAAGTGTATGGATGATACACAGATAAGGAAGGCAAACACTGCGGTGTTTTTCCCTCATTTATACTAACTGCCATGAGTTGCTTATATGACTCCTGATGAATGGCAGTGGTACGTGATATGCAAGTCATAGTAGTATAGTCTGAAGATAGTAGCTAGTCTGGGGATGGAACAGCCATTCAACCATTAAGGCCCATTGAGAAAACATTTTTGGTACAATGCTGCTTCTGTCTGAATTTAATCTGAATTGATTAAGCATTAGAATAACGACCATAGGACAAATATTTGTTAATGACATTGAGTAGAGGAAGAGCTGAAGTCTTTTTCTAAGAAAAGGTAGTTCAGCGGTTCACTTACAGTTTTTTTTACACCTTTTAGTCCTTTTCTCCCCATGCTTGCCTTCTGGGAACCAAAAGGTATTTCAAAAGGAGAAAAAGTACAAACTTGCTTTCCTGAACTTGCTTTACAAGGAGAAGTCATTTGGGCAGTTGAGAGCTATGTAGATTTCTTCATTAGAGACATGTGTGACTGTTGGGAACCATCATGACTTTAGAGTGATGAAAAGCAGCACTCTGCTGTGTTGTAAACTGCAGCTAGTGTCCTACCAACTCATGAAGGGTAAACTGGGAGCTTGGTGCAGGTGATCTGTTTGTGCTGTGTGAGCTCTGAGGAAGAGTGGCTACTGTTGGTGTACTTGTCATTGTTTCTACAGCATCTGTTGGTACTTGTCTGATTTTTCTACAGGTTATCTATGCCTTGTGTAACTTTGCAGTGAGCTTGATGTAGTCAGGGAGGAAAACTCTTCTAGAACAGGCATACTACGCAAGATGAAGACTTCTTTAAAAGTGCTAGCTGTTCATAGGACACAGCAGGTATTTTTTCTGCTGCGTAACTCAGACATGCACCTGCCCTCCTACTGTGCTTCTGAATTGTACAGCCATAAAGTTTAATATAGTCCTTTCGGGCAGGGAGGAAGAATGGTCTAGAGAGGGAGAATATATATATTTATATAATGAATAAAGGCTGAAACATGCTGCAGGCTTTAATTAAGCCTCTAGAAACATTGTGTCAGAAGAAAGTAGATACCAACATGAACTGAGTACTGATATACTATTCAGAGATCATAACCTTGGTCTAATTACATTATTAGTATATAAATTATTGTGTGAATTATTTAAAATTAATATTACAGATATTAGTTGTCATTAATAACTTGGAGGTGCCTTTTTGTCACAGAAGAACAGATTAACATAATTACTGCATGAAAAGTAGATATTGATGAAAAATTACTGTTTGAGACATTGTCATTACAGTATGTATTTTTTTTCTATTCACTTTTCTCTGTTCATCAGTCTGCACTTCTAATTATTATCTTTGATAAGAGCTGTTAACTTTGTGATTTATAAGTAGGTATGTTGATATGGGATATATTAACACCTAGATGGATATAGATGATTTGTTACTTGTGGAAGGTAAAACAGAAGAAATTGTGCAGCAGCTTAATAAACTAACTTGTAGGTATCATGGTTATAGTTGTGTGCATCTGTGCTGACTGTAAAATCCTGGTCTCAAATAAATTACTCACCATTTGTTTCCTTCTTTTGGTTGTTTTTTCCCCTTCATCTTCTCGAAGGTGAGAAGAATCAGCAGTGTAATTAAAGCCATGATACACATTGCAAGAAATTAGAGGTGCTGATGTTTTACTGTAACTGTTCGGTGCCAACTGTTGAGGAATACTGGCTAGATAAGAACTCAACACAGAGAAGGCTTCTCAGTGTGATATCTTCAAAACAAATGTCGTGCCTATGTGTAATATTTGTCCAGAAATCTGAAAACCCCCTATTTGCTAGTAATCTCCTGAAACTGCTCAGAGAGAAATAATAGCTGTAGTTAAAAACTTGCTGAGTGCACCTGTAGATGGACTTTTGGAGTAATTTTTTTGCAGTTGAATCAAAGAATCCTGGTTTATCTATGGTTAGGTAAACATTTTCACTCTAATGGCAAATACATAGGAACAAACATATTCCATGAAATTATTCTTGTGAAAGAAAGGGGCATATTTCTGTGAGTGGTTTATTCACAAGTTGTACTTTGCGTTCATTTACTGCCTGCTACTTGACTGTATTCCATATGTAGATGTCCTTTCAGATGTCCTCTGTCCAGGAGAACCTTAGGCTAAATTTTCCTGCTGTGTAATTACATGCTTTCTTTATCCTTCATGCATTATGTAGAGCTCTTATAGGTTTTGGGAGGTGTGTGTTGTGGTGGGGTTTCTTATTGTGTGCTTTTGCTGTTCTTGTTTTGCTAGAATTTTTTTCCCTGCTGTCAATTAGTGATGTTTCTTTTAATTCTGGGTCATATGTGAATGGCCTGAATTAATTATTTTCCAGCTTTATCACCAGAGGAATGGGAAGGTAGTAGGGAAGCTATTCTGCCTTTTGTGGGAGGCTGCTGTTAGCACAACAGTTCTGTGGAAATAATAAACTACTGGTTAATGTTAAGGAGCTAATTTGCTCATTAAAGATGCTTTTGTGGCTGATTCCTGAGGAAACAGGGGTTGTGCTTGTCCTGGGTTTTAATCTTAACGGAGGTATGAGAGTTTTATCTGTTCTTGACAGGTTTCTTTCTGTCACTGCCAGTCTGGTGTCTGATGCTAATGAAGTTTGTAAGTATGTAACAAAGAGCTACTGGATTCAAACTGCTGTTTTCAACAGTTCACACATTTAATATATTTATTAAATGTTCAAGAAGGGATGTTATTTTTCTGGTACAATGACTGATTGTCTTATGTAAGACTATACAAAGTTATTTTTCTCATTGGCAGAGCTTCTGTTAAATTAATGCTTAATAAGGAAAATGTCACTGAAATTATTACAGTATTTTGCTGTAAAAAAAATAGATGAGCAAATCCTGTCATATTTTATTTTTCTTTTATTCCCTAGTGATAGTTAAGCTATGACTTAAGAATTTTTCTGCTGCCTGTGTTGCATACAATAGGTTGTAAGAACTCTACAGCAGCAGAAGAATTCTTGTTGAATTGCAGTGTATTTTCAGTTCATGTAACATTCAGTTTGTTTTAAGACTGCAGGATAGTTTTCTTGCATATGGGGCTACAAGCGTAATGTCTTGGGGTTTTATACAAAATATTGAAAGCAGGAACTGTGTGCTTCTGGCTGTCATCAGGAGTTGTTCACTTGATCAGCTTTTGATCACAATCATGTTGTGGTTTGGACTTTTTGTTTTTTTTTTTTTGTATTTTGTTTGTTTTGTTTTTAGTTAGCTCAGGAGTATGAGTATGAACTGGCTTAATCTGAGGGTTTAATCAGAGGTTTTGATACTTTGGGTAGGTTACCTGGAGAAGGATAACCTCTTGTTTTCTGTAGGAGCTGTCACTGCCTGTTATGATAGGTGTGTGTTTCACAGATTAAGGAGGATTGCTTTGCCCAGCAGGGGATACATGTTAAGCATTATAAATGCTGACAAGAAGGGGTTGCTTCTGAGTGTGCAAAAGGATAAACATAACAACTTTGGCTATTTAGTGATGAAAATCATCCGCAGGCACCATACCTAGTTGACTTAAAATTTTGTATTGTGAATTAGCCTGTTAATGCTTTTGAGACTCCCTAAGGACTTACTCTTGTTTGTATTTGTGGGCTGATTTCTGTCTCCCGTGATATGGATGCTAAACTTAGGCTCTAGGAAAAGTTACTCCTTTGACTTTTACTAGATTTGTAGGCCGCATCCTAGACTGTGGGGGAAAAAAGAGAACTCTGTTTCTGAGTAAGGTGTTACAGATGGTGCATGCTACTTTTAAACACAAGCTGAAGTGATAACACTTGCATGCTCATTTCCATTTCCAGAGCTTTAAAGATGAGCCCACTCTGCAAAGGTGAATATAGAAAGTGATCTGGCAGTGTGGTTCATCATAGCTGTGTAATCATGTGTAAGTTCTATATGCATGTAGTCAAACTGTGTTTGTGTGTAAATACAAACACACGTCTTTGTGTGTTTGTATATAAAAAGTGGAAAAACTTACTTATTCAGTATTTAAGAATAGACAGACATAAACTCTATAAACACAAAGTGGTGATTTATGTGAAGTACATGTTTGAGGAGTTTTTCTCCCCAGAATATTCTTGAGTTGTTGGATTCATATGGACATTTATAACTTTTACTAGCAAAGCCTTTCATACATTTGGAATACAAGTGAGAGCACTTTTGCACAGTGTGCCCTATACATTACTATACTGTTTTCTCACTGATGTCTTCTGAAAAGTTTTAATTACTCAGCCTTGGCTTCCCTAATGATGAATAAAATCTTGCAAGTTATGACCCTCACCTGGAAATGAAAACAAAAGGTGTGATTACTACTTCAAGAACAGCAGCTTCTACAGATTTTTGGAATGACTAGTGAGGTTGAGCTTCTCTCTACCTTTTTGTCAAGTGCCTCTGAACTGTGTAGATGTAAGTCAGTAGACCTGCAAGAGCAGGTACTCTGAATCACAGCATGTAAGACTTGCTTGTAAGACTTCCCCTTGTTTTTCTCTGTAAGCAATATGTGAATTTGTTCCCTAGGGAAATGACTGGACTCACTGGTGTTGGTCTGTGGGGATTGTTTCTCTTACCAGTGTTGGGTTCAGGCAGTCCTTTAAAATATGAGAACCATAGATCATTTCCTTTTCTACCTGAACAGTTTTGAGTTGTGTATCTCTTCTGTTCATGACACTTCTATGTGACCTCCATGCTAGATGGTGTTCTCTTATTCATTCCTGTTGATTCTTTTCTGCTTGGCATGAACACTTATTGACAACCACAATCCACTGCTACCCAGATGCATGTCCAAATCATCAGAACATCATAGTTTTTTTTATTCTTCCATGGGTTTGTCTCTACTTTAATACAAAGTTGAGCAGTGGTTTTCTGTTATGGACAGGATTCTCCCATCAGCACACCCAGAGCCTGACACTGAGGTCAGTTCAGCATAATTTGGAGACTGATTGCCTGTATGAAAAAAGTTGATTTAAATCTTTGCAATTAAGCGGGCAAAGGAAGAAAAGCCAGATTTATCTCACAGCTGCTAACAGGGTTCTAACTTGGGAAGTTGATCTCCTGGAAGAAAACTGAGCTATTCACCCCATTCTCTGCTGCAGCATTCATCTGTATTTATTTCCACATTTTCACTGTTTATAAGTGCTAAAAGTGAATTATTCCATTTCAGATGGAGTATTTTGATTCTTGTGACTATTTTTGCTTTGGCAAAATGAGCCAGAGTCAGGTTTCTGTTAAATGTTATCATTTTTATATGATGTTTGCAACTCAAACAGAAAATCAGTTATTGGATGCAATTTGCTATCAACCAAAAAGTAATGTCTTTAAGGTCTGGCTTTGTGTGGTGCTGGAAGGGGGAGAGCTAGAAAGTGCCGAATTGATGGTTATTGGAAGATTTTCCCTTTTCATGCTATTAAGCATTGGTTGTAATGATTTTTGGGGTGTGCTGGGTTGGGATTTTTGTTGGTTTCCTTGCATCATTGTTTAAGATAGTGAGTTCTTTAGAAAATACTGAAAAGCTATTATACAAAGTAGTTTACAGACTTGACTAAAACTTTTCTTTAGAGTTAACAGAACATGAACAAAAATTTTCATCAGCAACTTTTTCTACAGTTATGAATTAACTGTGTGCAACTTCTTCGCAGTTATTAGTTGCATCATTGCTTTCTAGTGCAGTGGTGCTCTCTGCTATAATCATTGTCCATTGAGATCGTATTTGTACCACTAATAGAATGGGCAAATAAGTAGCCCTAGTGCTAATGTACATCTGTTAGGAACTGTAAGAGCAGTAGTGACTGTAAAACTCTGTGACTGAAATTCTAAA